GCAATTCCACAAAGAGGTATTAGTGCAATGTCTGCTAATCATATCCCTGCCAACTCAAATATGGTTTAATTAAAAACTCAAACTAAAGCGAATCTTTTAGAATAAACACGCAGCGGAAAGTTCGTGGAAAGTTTGCGACACAAAGACGCGACAACGGAAGGCAGACGTATAGACTTATATTGATTGCATTGCGGCGCAATTCACATTAATTAGTAAAATTAATATCCGGTTACTTGGCCGTCGCAGAAAAGAGTAGGAAAATGCTTTAGTTGAGAGGATTCAGGGAGTGCCCAGTGGCCAATGGCCATGGGGAATGAAGGAATTTATTCGGTAAGCTGAGACGGCGAAGGAGGACAAGGCATAAGGACAGTAGGTCAGCCAGGCCTTCTGCTCCTCCTTCTCCTCCGCGGTGGCAGTGAAATCGATTCCTCAAACTTACTTGGGACGCGACGACAAACTTGGATCAGAGGTCTTGCGGCGACTGTTGCGATTCCTCTTGTTGGACAAGCGCTCCTTGTAGGATTCCGAGCGGTTCACGGAGACCGGGGCGCTCTTGTGCTTCGGATGCTGACTGTAACTAAGAGGGTATGTCATCAAAGCGAAGGTAATAGATTCCTTGTCTAACTCACCGCTCCCTACGCGCTTCCTTGTCCACCGCATCCAGAGCATTCAGCTCGGCAAACACACTCAGGCCGGCGGATACGGATCCACTGCTCGAAGGAGCCGTGGAGGCCACACTCGTGGACAGGTCCATGTTGCATCCGGCGGCACCACCGGCATTAATACTGTCGTTGGCACAACTGCCGTGAAACGAACTCTGCAGGTCGGTGGTGTTTAGCGCCGAAGTGTTGCAGGATGTGTTCCCATTCGAGCGCATCGAAATGTTCCCATCCGGCCGGCGATCCGAGGGTTGCCGCACAATCGACGTCTGACCACGATCTGAAAGTACACAATACAGGTAAGTAAAGTCATTTTTTAGTTTTTTGTTAAATCTCACCTGGAGTCAACTCAGCATCCAAATCCTCGTCTTGTCGACTGCGTTTTTCATCTAGCAGGTTAAATAATAGGAACATTTAGTATTCAATCAATCTCTCAAGTTCCTTTCACTTACTTCCTACAACGTCGCTGGTTCGCGGTCGAATTTTGCCCATGAACTTGCTGATTTTATCGTTATGAGCGAGACGTTTTGCCTGGGGCAGGGGTCCGGGACAACTCTCGTCAACTACTTTCGAGCATTGACGGTGTATATTCAATTTACAGTCTGCATTGAGAAAATCGAGCATATTATATGAAATATACATTTGAATAGCTATCTCGAGAGAGTGATGCTCACCTGTACAATGATAACCTTGCGGACTCACACCCCAGATAATCGTCTGACAATGATTGCAGTGCGTCACTTCATAGTATTGACGCAATACCAATGGATGACCACGAACATTCATCTGCGGGGTGATAGATTTGCATTTTTAGTTATGACGTAAAATAAATAGAGCATTTCGAATATATCACCTTGCGATTTTTGCCCATTATGCGCGACTTGAAGCTCTTGTCTCTGCTCACAAAGTGGTGGACACGCTCGACAATGCTACTCGGAGGCGGACGAGTGTTGAAAATTCGGTAAATGACCGTGGAGAGGGCAGAGCATAAGGCCACCTTCCGCACATCCTCATGCGGTTGGCCATTCTCATCCTCACTATACAGGTAAGTAAATACATGAGTAAAGGAAAAGTGAAATAAACTTCAATACTCACATCAGCGCCTGCAGATTGGGCATCAAGTATTTGTCGATGATTTGCTCCTTCAGCTTGTCCGTCTTTGCCTCGGTCAGCTTGCTATCGGTGGGTCCGTACATGGTGCCCAGGCCGGCGGTGCGCTTCTGCTGGAACTCGCGCAGCTGTTCGCTAATCAGATCCTTGGCCCGCTTGCGACTGCGTAGGAAGACAGTGCGCAGGATCTCCACCTTGTCAAACTCCAGCTGCAGGACATTGTCAACCTCGCGGGCCAGCGACTCATCCTGGCGATACCACGACAGTGGGGCACGAGGCACGAGGAATGTGGAGTGGATCTCGTAGGCCCACTTGCGCATGTCCTTGGAGGTGCCCTCCTTGTACAACTCGGTGATCAGGTAAAAGAGAAGTGGCGCGGGATCCGAGTTTGAGATCACGTAGTTCAGGAAGATGGCTAGGAAAGTTACGTTCTCGGCCTCCAACAAACGGGTCAGGTTGTTGAACGGTCCATTCTCGTCGATGAAGGGCTCCTCCGAGTCCGAGTTCTCGTCCTCCATCGAGATGATCTCCTTTTGCGAATCGTTCGACTGGGCCGCATGAATGGGGCCGGAATGTAGGGATATCGGGATGGGGGAAGAAGCTCCCGCGATCGGCGTGAACTGATGCGATTCGATAAAGACTCCTGATCCGCCTGATGCAGCTGCTCCGCGGCAGTTCTCGTTGGGATCCTCCAGAACGGTCATGTGCGAACTGGACAAATATGGCGGAGGAGGAGTTCCGGGCGGCGACGATTCCCCATCCTTCTCGACAATCTCCCACGAACCGGAAGTAGTTTTAATCAAACGATCTGTAAAGGAGTTGGTATTAAAGTCCGCATTATACAGAAATGGAATATTATTTTTCTTACCCGGATGTCGGGGATGCATGTTGTCCGGTGAGGAACCCACGCGTCTATGTTTGTTTTTAACCAAATTCGGTGTCTGTCCCAGAGCCTGTGAAGTTAAATGCGTTTATAAATACATCTTCCATTTTTATCATAATTCAAACCCAAGTAAGACACAAAGTAAAGGTAATTTGACCTGCAAATAGCTTTTCAAAGTCTACATCTCCGATGCAAATAAAATACGTATACCCAAAAATAATAACAATAGATTTCCTGCGTGTTATTCATGTTTAACAATCAAAAGTGTTTTCGGTTGCTGTTAGTTGAGCTAGCGGGAAGCTAATTAAAATAATATTATTAACATTGGCAACTTATGATAGCGTCGATTAAATAGTTACAAGCATGAAACAGATAAATGTTAGATAATGGAAAGGGTGTGAGAGTTAGAGAGTTAGGGGATTAGAGGATTACGTTTTCGGCAGTGTTTCTTTGTTGGCAGAAAGAATAGAGTTCGAGTGATTCGTTAGCTACTTACGCCTGTGGCCTGGCCACCTCCCAACTGATGGTGCTGCTGCTGCTGCTGATACTGTTGCAGCTGTTGGACAATGTTGGGTCGCTGGGACAGAGGAAAGGCAATGTTCAGGTTGTCGTTCTGCACCGCCGTGGTGGTGGAGACCAGGGGATAATTGAAGGCAGTGCCAACGGAGTTGGGCTGAGCCAGATTCTGACAGCTGCCGCGGCTCATGTCCTCCGACATCATGCCAGGCAAACGAGGCGGCAGCGGTGGTGGTCCCCCATCCACTTCTATGGCTCCTCCGCTGGCTGCTCCCGCCGCACACGCCGACTCCATTTGCAGGAACATCTGGGTGGACATCTTGGGATCGGACAAGGCCTTCGTCTTAATCTTGGAGCGCTTCGACTTGGCATTGCTTGGACTGTTGTCGGTACTGCTGGGCAGCTGTTGCTGCTGCTGTTGCGATCTGTTCAACTGGGGACTGGTGGCGCGATCCAGATCGGAGACAGGAGCAACCAGTTGCGAGCCTCCTGGCGATGCATTTCCATTCTTAAGGTCCAAGTTCAGCTGCCTGGGCGGATTCCTTTGCGGCAGTGGTGGCGGCACATCCTCCTCGATGAGACTTCTCGAAATGAGGAACTTGTTCTTGCCCTTCGACGACGGTCCGGAATCCTTGAAACGATGTTGCTGCTGGTGCGGATGGAAGAACTGCTGCTGGGAGGTTGGCGTGCTGGTGTGCTGGTGCATCGACTGCGACATGGCCTCCGCCGCCGCCTGGTGGCTCATTCGTTGCTGCTGCAGGAAGTCCGTGGTGAGGCCGAACGGAGAGGACGTGGTCAGGTCCTTCTCGATCTTGTTCTTGCGCGTGCCCAGCGACAGGGACGAAAGGGAACGCGGCAGAAGGGACAGGAATGCGGGTGAGGTGCTAGCTGGCTGTTGCTGTGGCGGATAATTGTTGTTGTGGAGATTGTGGTGGTGGTTGTGAAGATGATGGAATTGCTGATTGCTGTGAGTGGCGGACGCGGACAAGTGTTGGATTTGGTTGGGCGTTAGTAATGCTGTGTTCTTATTGCCAACGGCCGCCTGAAGTTTAACAGTCGGTGCATCCTGGTGTTAGGGTTTCAGTTTCGGATTCAGATTCAGATTCGTCATGGGTGTGCGTTAGAATGCCGCGAGATGGAAAAGAAAGATAGAGATTATGTAGCATCATTCGGTTTTTATACTGACTTCCTTTGGAACTCTCGTGTTTAAATAGCGCACAGCTCAACATTGTTACGTACAGCGAAATAGCAATTGTTAGGTAGTTTATTTTATTAGCTGGGTTAACAGAGCGGCTGGGCATCTGCTTGCGGCATTAGTTTCATGTTTCTGGGAGGGAAAGGATTCCTGGGCTCAAGGGCTTTGGCTGACCTAGCTTACCTAGAGTATGGACGGACGAATATACCTTACAGAGTAACTCCCCCACTCACCTCGGCCCCCACTTGATGGAGTTGCTCGCGCAGTTTGCGGATGTTCGCCTCGGACAGCTTGTAGCTCGGGTTGTTCTGGTCGCTCTTCAAACGCTCCAGATTTAGCTTCTCCTGCTCCAGCATTTTCTGCAGCGTCTGGATCTTGTACGTCTCCATCTCCCTACGTTTGATACTCTGCAATAAACATTTATTAAATATCTTCCCCTAGATAATACGTTGAGGTACTCACATCCACGGGCTGGGGTCCAGTTATGGAAGCAGTGCGATCTCGTCCGGATAAGATCGGTGTCGAAGGCGTTACCACACTCACCGAAGAGGGTCGCGTTAGCTTCTGACTTCGTTTCACCGCCAGTTCCACTGTGTTCGAGGCTTAAAAGTTACAAAAAAGAAATAATGCTTTGATTAGAGTGTCTAAAATAAAAAAAAATACATTCTTCCAGAAAAATTCCCCTTAAGTCCGGACGCTATGAACTATAAAACAAAGTTCCCCTATTCAAATTCATAATGATCTTGCACAGATTAATTAAGTTTGTGCTATTTGCCGGCACCTTTTACTTGGGCAAGGAACTGGGAGGCTGGGACGATCCAGTCGAACCGGAAATCGGTAAACCAAAGCTAGAAACAGAAGATTCTGTTGAGACAGAAAGTTCTTCGGGTGGCCAATCAGTAGAAAAGAAGGTCCCTAGTTTCCAGAACACTTTCTTCGATGACGAGGACAAACGTAAACTTAAGCGCAAGAAGGAGGATTTGGAGAAAAAGTTTTGCCCCAGGGGGAGCATCTGCGAGCCACCTCCAAAGCCTCTGAGCGAAAGCGTTGGCGATGCTCTCTATGACACCTGGCTGGCCCTTAAAAAGATTCCATCCTACTGGAGCAGCGCAGCCGAATCCTTGGCAACTAGCATTTGTCGTTTTATTAAGGGGGATAGATAAGTGATATATTTAAATTACCTTTTATAAATAACAAGCTATAATATACCTTGCATTGTATTAAAAGAAGCAAGTCCATAGAAACCATTTAAAAGACTTTTGGTTAACAAAACTTAGCAAGCTTTCCCTTTAACATTAAAAAACAAGTATTTCAATTTAACAACCGATATGCAATAGATAAATTTGTTTTCACACAACCCAAATTAAAAGCATGTCTTCAAAATTAATGGCTCGACTGAGCGTAATAGCCGGAATTGTCACGTCCGTCAAACATGGTTGGACGAAGCCGGAGGAGCAGATGGTCCATGATGCCTCCGAGAATCTCACAAGGACCTGCCCCCTTTTGAAAGAAAGCGAGTTCAGCTTCTCGGCTGTAAGCAACTGCAGTGTGGCGCTCCAGCGGGGATTCTACTTCTCCCTTCGAATGCCCGACTGGGCGAGGGACTTCAAGGAGCAGACCCAGAAGATCCTAGGCCATAGTTTTGAGGTCCCAATGCTAAACCCTAAAAGCGGAAAAGATTCGAAGCTCTCAAAGTACTACGGAGATAAACGCTCTGAACGTTATGGGGTAATCTTTTCAGAGACTGCTACTGGCAATTTCTTTGGAGATATTCCTCGAGAGATGCAAGTTCCTCCTGGTCAAACCAAGTCTACCCGCCCAGTGCGATCACCCAAGATCAAGGACGACCTAACATGCGGCAAAAAAGTGTCATCTTAAAAACTCAGACATCGGCTGTCACAAAAAATTTAAGAGCATTTTCGAAACATCATACGGAGAATAGGGGTTTCGAAGCTGAAATGGTTGTGGGCCTGATTTTGAAGGCGGGCGTTGTCTACGCCGTGGTGATGGCCACCAAGAACTACGGTGTGTGGGAGTCCCCGAACAGGACCCAAGAAGTGTACGAGGAAACGGTGGAGCGTATCGAACCCTACGCTGATCGGGCGCGACGCAAACTGAATATGTGCCCGCCAAGGCCGCCACCGGAGGGCGAGTGGACCTTCTTTGGCATCCACTACTACAACAAGTTTGTAAAATCCGTCTTTGATGTTCTGAGTGTGTTTCCCGCTGGACTGGCTGCGTTCTTGGAGAAGGCCCCCGGCTATGTGACCGCCTTAATCGAAAGCGTCAAGAAACTCGTCAAGGAGAGCCAGTCCAAGAAGAAGGAAATAAAGATATGCAAGGAACGACTGGACGAGACGCCTCTTGTCAGACCACCAGGACTGATGCCACCGCACTGCAAGGACAAGAACTGTCCAAAGGCTCCCCTGATTCCACCTGGTTGCAATCAAAACAGGGATAGCTTCATCTACGAGCCGCGAATGCCAAAGAAGCCAGCCTGCGAGTGCTCACGGTGCAAACAACGCCAGGCGGAAAATTGGAAGGACAACAAACGGAAATGCCCAAGAATCCCAGACAATGAAAGGAAGTGTAGATGCGGCGAACAACCCCATCCAGAACCCCGACCAGAACCCATAAAATCTTGCAAACAATGCCGAAAACCACCTAGAGACACCAGTGCTTAGAAACCCTCTAAAATGTATCTCCTCACCCCACTTACCAAAATTTGTTGTACCCCAACCTACACAATAAAAATTTGGTTAACCACACAACTGTTCTGTTTTTACATACCTTTTATAAGACCCACTACAGTTGGATGTTTCTCTAGCCGCACTTCGTGGCCATTCACCTAAAAAAGAATATTATATACCATATTGCATTAGGTAAAGTCACCTTACTAACCTTTAGTATCATGTCGCCAGCAACCAGGCCAGCCACTTCTGCTGCACCTCCGGGTTTAACGCTTTCCACAAACACAGGATTGTCACCGGAAACCTGGAAAGTAGAAGAAAGTTGGTGTTAATACTTATAAAAATTATTTTTTTTAATCACTGAACTTTAATTTATCAATAAACAAACTCATGTTACCAATGTGATATTCATTTAACGAATGAGCAACAACATGGTTTTGAGTAACTGACTTTCTAATAAAACAATTAACCAGAATTTTAAGTCAAAAGTTAACCTGATATTGAGAAATTAACCCTAAATACTTTAGTTTCTGCCCTGTTCAAAGTTTCGAAGTTCATTATACGAATATAAATCAATCCTTAGGCAGTTAACAGTAGACAATTATAGTCAAAGGTTGAAGTTTATAACTAACTAATCTTTAAGGCACTTGTATAGCTAATAAATTGTAAGTCGCTAGCTACAAATGTATTAAAACGAAAGTTCCAGTCAAGAATATATGACAATTGTATACACAGCATGGAAGTAGATTGCATTCTAGTGCTTCTTGACCACCCACCTTCATGCCGTATCCGTTGCCATCCTTGCGCACAGTCAGGGTTAAATACTGAAAATTTTTTGGTAATGCTAGGTCGGGCGTCGTCGGCGTGGTCGCTGGCGTCGTTGGATCCTTGGAATAGCAGTCACCACCACCCAGCTGCCGGTAGCGTGGTGCCAGGTTGAGACTGCTGCGCTCCCCCGGCGTCTGGAGAACGGGGTTGGCGTTGTCCGATTGATTCGGATTCGGTTGCACGCCCCCGTTGTTGTTGTTGCTCGCATTGTTATTGTTGGCGGATGTGGGCGTGGCTGGGGCGGAGTCACCACCACCAGCTGCAGTTGTGGCGTCACCGTTCATCTGGCTCTGCTTGTAGCTCGCAGGCAACGGCGGCGTCTGCGGTGGCACGGAACTCTCGTTGTTGTGATTCTCCCGGTCCCGTTCCTTGTCCCGATCCTTGTCCCGATCTCGGTGACCACTCAGGCTGCTGGCCAGGCTGCTCAGGCTGCTCGCCAGCGAAGGGGATCGTGGGATCTTGGACTTGTTGGCCACCTGCTTCTGCTTCTGTTTGCTCTTCGAGTTCTTCACAGATTTCTGCTTGGGCGCTGGCAACTCGGGCACCGCGTCCACAACAATTGCTGGTGACTGTGGGGCAACCACTGACGGAGCTCCTTTTGCTGTTGATCCAGATCCAGTTGCAGTTGCAGTTGCAGTTCCCGAGTGACTGGCACCGTTCGTGCTTGGGTTGCTCGCTGATGACTCCGGGGGCTGAATGCTTGACTCTTCTGGCAGCTCCTGAACTTCATCGTATTCATGTTCGTCAGTATATAAATCTATTAGCCTGAAGGGAAAGAGATAAATGTAATTTAGTAAGAATTCAAATAGTTTGAAAAGAAAAAATTAAAAAACCATGTCGAAAATAGGTCCATCTCGATCTGTAGAGCAGCCAAGGCAAAGTGATTTCCATATAAAGGGCAAAAAGCTATATGATTTTACGATTATTGTAAAGACTAATCATAAAATGACTAATAATTCATCTTTATCTTTATTCATTTTCACAGATTGGTTACCAACATGGTTTTAATAATCTTGTAAAACCTTTTATCGCTTCTTATAAACCCACAGATTGGTCACTACCCATCTTCGTAAGAAAGATTAATTTATTTTTATTGTTTATTTACTATAATGAAAGCTTTATAAGCATGTATTATATGCACAGTAGTAGCCCTTCAACTATTGAATGGAACCTGCAGATGCAGATTGACAATTCAATCAGCTATGAAGGGTAATCAATGCTAAATAATTTCATGACGGAACTGCCGCTGATTCCCATAGCCAGGTATGCTGTTTTTAAGAGCAGATAGCTAATCAAGACCTCGCCGTGAATGCGACAAACATGTAACGAAAGTCACGGCCAAAGCCAAAGCCAGAGCCAAAACCCAGCGATCTGTAGTCGCTGGCGGGTCTCTTTTAATTGAGCTAAAATTAAATCAGCCGAAGAATAGATACAGTTTAATTGCTGTTTATTTGATCATTTTGCATGTGAATGGAATGGATATACGAGTACGTAGTTGTGCGCTCAGACCCCGTCTATATGGTATATACCCCGGACTATAATAAAAGCCCATTTCCCGACTGGTGGCCAGTGCCTGGTGAATTCATCATTATGATGAGTTATTTCCATAACAGCCGGACAAGACCTCCAAAAGGCGAATGTTTACATTAACTTTTTTGACTGATTGGCCCATGTCAATAACATGTCTCTCTGTTTGATCTAGGAGAATTCTCTCTCTGTCTAAATTTAGCAGCTGAATTTTGAGGAAATCTCGCTGCAGCCAAGATGACGGGGTAAAACCAGTTAAAGCCCACAAATCGTACGACAAAAATCAAATGAGCAACACCTATCCGAGCTGTTAATAGATTTAAATCATTTGACGTGCTTATTATACAATCCATGGTTCACAAAACACCACCACAAAATGCACACACAGACGTGCTTAGAAAGCCATTGGTTTTGCCAATCTATTTGGGCTAAAACTTCCCCTGGTGGCTATTAAAGAAATGGTAAAATGTGAAAACTGGCCGCTCCCTAAGTTGGTGGCGAGTATATATGTATTAAGTCATCCATTTGGTAGTCGAAACCGCACAAAAACAACCCCAAGCTTGGGGGAACTATTGGTATAAACAATCAGCAAACAACAGTGCGTTTCAGAACTGTGAGACAGCAAAAAATAAAAAGCTTCACCTCGCCAATTGGCAAACTACGTTAGGTGACTAATCATGGGTCAAATGAATTAGTAATTTGTTACAAAAGTTGATCGGTGATCTAATGCAGAGTTATCTCATCTGGGCTCGAGACTAGTGTCAAAAATTCTGGACCACAAAGGAACTTAGGCGTATAACACTACTTAAAATGCAGTAAACTAACATGAATACCATAGGATTTGTTAAGTTCTTTCAAGTTAACCACTCAATGTACCCCATTTCCGCAACGATCTTGCGTAACTTGGTTGTTCATAAAGATAATTGCATGAAACTAATGTCGTTTATACAGTTTAAAAAGAACCTAATGATAAGGGTTAAAACGGTTTGACTGCCTCTGTTCGCTATGGTTTTATAGATAACTTTAGTTTTTTGCTTAAAATTTAAAGACCTTGCCTTTCTCGTTTTAGATATTCGACTTTTATGTTGACTATGATTTCATTTAAATGATTTATCCGTCACAACCAGTTGACACTGCCTTCAAAATTTGCATTACAAATGCATCTATACTGTATGTTTACTTGTATAATCGACTGTGGGGTTCGAATAAGAGGGAAAATAACAATTATTAAGTCTCCCGAGGACAGTGCTATGCGAACGATAGCGATTTATCGTAATTCGAGCAATTACTCATATTACTGAGTGGTAAAATGGTCACTGTCGGGGGAAATCATGGAGCGTCGAGTTGAACTCACCGTTTTTTGATTGATGGGTCATCCATAGGGTTCTCTGTGATGGCTTTTCTGGGCTGCTGTGCGGGTGCGAAAATGCAAATTCGAGTTCGAATTCAAAGGCATGCGTAAGCCACTCGAAGTTGGAGGGTTGGGATTCCAGGGGGTATTACGGTTTGCATGGGTTTCGGATCGGCTATTTTTAAATTAGCTGGTAAAACGGGGCGAAATTATTCCAGAAGTGATTTAATTGCGTCGATTCTCCGTTGCTTTAGTTCCTTTTTATGGCTTTTGTTGCACTTTTCGAATGGTTTTTATATATATTAGGCACTGCTACTTTTCACTTAAACCTGTGCGCACACAAAATTCGTTTGAAATCGTTTATGGCCATTAATGCATGTACATTAAAATATTTGTTTTTTCTTTGGGTGGGTGGTGAAGGGTTAAGGGGGCGTGGGCAAGGCGGGGCAGAGGGAGGGTTAAAATGCAGGCACCGATCTCCTTGCAATTTTATTGTTTTTATTCCA